GGGGGGGGGGTGGTCTTGGGGGTTTGAGGATTCTCAAAGTGCTCTTGTTCCGAAGCCTCAGGGCGGGGAGCGGTTACGCGTTACGACACCCAGGCATAGAAAGCTGTGCTTATGCTCGACATTCAAGTTCAAGTAAGCATCAGAAACTATTCAGAAAACCCATGCGGCGCTCAACCCTAAACCTTAAGACGCCTAAGAACCCTCAACCCTTGATGACAAGCAGCCTATGAATAAAACAAATATCATCAGCCCAAGATCCCGGGGGAGAGCACCACGTGTCGCCCTGCTGCCAGCTTCGCGTTGATCGCAGAGGCTGCCATGGAATCTGTAGCCTTGGACTAGGTGCTCAAGGCCTAGTTTAGGGCTTAAGGGCCTAAATAAATACCAACACTATTTTGGGGGAGTTCCTTGTTATAAGTGTAGTATAACGGCCTCCAAAACCCTATTCTAATTATACAGGCCCCTACATTAGTGCTTGGGGTTGGGGATTTGTGCTGATTTACGGTTTGGGGCTTAGGATCCACAGGTAAGAGAAGGTTTAGGGACTGGGGTTTGAGGGTTTAGGAGTTTAAGTGTTGGGGCTCGGGTCCAGGGGAACATGAATCTAGGTTTCGGAGGTGGGAAAACCTGTTTAGGGGTGACAGACCAGGAGTTCTGTTTGGGGCACATCCCTTTTCTGAATGCGTGCCGGAGGACCTCAAGAAGTAGGCTTCAGGTTTAGTCAAGGCTTTTAAGGTCAGGGCTTTTAAGGCAAGCTTAATACTAAGACTTACTGCTTCCGAGTCCGAGCTTGTTGAAACCTTGACAGAGACCTACGCAGCCCGCAGGTAGAATGGCCTGAACATAAATCGTGCTGCTTCTGCGCGGTGCCCGTCAGAAGCCGCACCAGGAAGGGAAAAGGTGGGATCTCTCACAACCAAAAAATCTCTCCAGAAGTGAACTTGAGTGAAGAAGTGTAACCTAAACCCTAAACCCTAAACTCACCTAAAGTCTAAACCCTAAACCCTAAACCAAGTGAAGAAGCGTCGTGTCGCCTACAAGGCCGGGCTACCAAGAAAGGAAACCCGTCCTTTTGTACATTCAAAGCTTCTGCGGAGCCAACGAGTGACTCGAGCGAAAACCGAAGACTTGCTTTCTTGAAATCGCAAGCATTATATACTCCAATATGTATGCAGATGTGTGTATATATATATATAGGTACATATCGTATTATAAGGCAATACAAAATACGATCACACAATACAACATAATGTACAGTACTGTAATAAATTACAGTATGACTTAAGATAAGGAGCCACAAAGACGTGTTCGAAGCCGATGAGGTCCGCCTCGTCCCAGCTTGGCCCACTTCGTCCCCAGACCGGTCGGGGGATCGCGAGGTTGAACTTTCCCATGGCATCCACTGTGATGTAAGGCTTCTCCTTTGAGGCACAGAGACAGTTTAGGGTTTAGGATGGTTTAGGGTTTCGGGTTTAGGGCTGAGTGTCTTCGGGGAAGTAAAGGTGAAACCTTTGGGGCTAGTTAGGGATTATCGTGCCACAAAACCGGTGAAAGTTTACTGTACCGACTCTACTGCTATGTCTTCCTTAGCGGTGCACATCAAGCGGGCCTTGGAGGTTTGGGGCGAATACAATCATGACAATTCACAGTCAGCCGTCGGTGCATTTAAAGCTGGGGTTTCGGGTTTAAAGTCTAGGCCTGGCTCATAAAACCGTCAGTGCCAGAACCGAGCCATACCACCCTCAACTGAAAGCAACATACGGGCTGGCCGAGTCTCCCAGCAAGAAGCTGCGTCTTGCTCAGACAACGGCTGTAAAAGACCAGAATAAGTAAGCATATTGCCCTGAGCCCTAATTATACCCTAAGCTTTAAACCCTAAAGCCTCCACCCTGAACTCTACACCCTAAACCCTAAGCCATGCGAGTTTCGAGCAACACCGGCGGCTTCTCCACCAAGAGATTCTGCGGATGAGGCGACACGGGATCCTCCGAAAACGCCGGCCTAGCGGCCCTTCTTGCTATTAATCGCAGGTATCCCGATAGCTTCCATGAAGGGTTTTCGGGGGTTTGGGTTTAGGGCTTGGGTATCAAAGTTTAGTCCAAGGTTGAAAAAGTTTAGGATTCGGCGAAACCCTTTATAAACTTGAAGGCGGGATTTTGGGCCTTTGCAGCATTTCAGCCTCCAAGGTGTGCCCGTTAGCTTTCCGGGTCGAAGTCTTCAGGTCCTAAGATCCACAGGTCAGGGTTTAGGGTTTAGGGTTTAGGGTTTAGGGTTTAGGGTTTAGGGCGAAACGCTTTGCACTGCGAAGATGCTTCCCGAACCCTCAACTGCTCCCAACCCCAATTCTCGAAGCCGCCTTCTTCACAATGACTTGTCAGAAGGTTTGGGGTGCTATTTATCTACTCCTCTCCGCCCCCTTTCCCCTTGCGCTTCGATCCTGCATGGAGTTCGTGCAGCACGTTTCAGCAGGAGCCCCCTCGGTGCCCACGTAGACGAAGTTCACGGCACGCGGCGGGCTGTCGAAGTAGGTGGTGTTCTGTACCTGGGTAGTTGTCTAAATTAGGGTCCCTTTGGGGGTTCTTTGTATACGGGTGCTGTATTATATTGGGGACACAAAAAAGGGAATCTAACTTAGAGAACTACCCACCTGGTGCCCGGCGACGGCGGCTTTAGGGTCGAGGGTTTAGGATTAATTTCGGGCTTAAAACTTATCGGGTTTAGGGTTTAGGGATGTTAAGGGGTATAAGGTGCAAGTAGGGCTCTTGGGTGTACATAGGTTCAGGGCTTCAAGGTTGGACGTTAGGGGTTTAGGATTTATAGGGCCTCATTTAGGGTTCAACAGGTTGAGTTAGGTTTGGGTCTTGTAAGGCTTTCGCTGTAGAGTTTACGTAGGTTCACGGTTTCGCGACATCACGACGGTCACCACGACTACGATCACTGGCTTTCCGGCCCTCGACTGCTGCTACGCCACTACTGCGCTCACTGAAACCGCTTGCAGCTGTTTCGGGTTGCTGTTGTGACTGTTGTGCCATCCTCCTGCTGCAGTGATAAGGATTTTTCGATGACAGCAAGCACAGCAACCACAGCATCCTCATCACCACCCCAAAACCTGAATCCTAAACCGTAAAGCCTAAACCTAAACCCTATACCGTTCTTTGCGTCCTTAGTCGTGTCAGCCCGGCCTGCCCGCACATGCTCCCATATCAACCCGGGCGCCTTGCAGCTGCGGATGAGCCACTGCTGCTGCCGCACTAGATCCACCGTGCCAGTGACCTGAAAACTCGAAGAAAGAAAGAGAGATCGGGCGCTTCTTTCTTTCGGATGTTGGTAGGGTCGGTGCGACGCGCAACTTCGTTCGACTTGCAAACAGTGCTAGCAGGCTAACATTTAGGGTTGCTTTTTGGTACACTTCTCGATTCTTGGAGTTTAAGGGTTCAGGGCTTAGGGTTTCAGGTTTTGGCCTCCTGAACCCAAGCCCCCCAAGCCAAGACACCTAAACGCCCCAGCACACACCCACCAGCCGCCCCCCAACCCTTCACAAAAGCCTTCAAAGCAAAAGCGCGAAGGATCCTAAACCCTAAACCCTGAACCCTAAACCCTAAACCCGCAACCCTGAACGAACCCTGAACCCTGAACCCTAAACCCTAAACCCCAAACCCTAAACCCTGAACCCTAAACCCGAATCCCTCCTCCAAGTTCGCCACAAAGCCGCCGCTGCCCTTGGAAGGCCCATCCGTCCCGGGCTCCCCGAAAGCCAGGTCTCCGTGAACCTGAACGGGCCGCACTGAGGAAAAGTGGAGAAACTGTGATGCTTTTTTGGGGGGAGGGTTTGGGGTTTAGGGATTTAGGGATTTAGGGGTTCTGGGTTTTAGGGTTTTAGGGTTTAGGGGTGTAGGGGTTTAGGGTTTAGGGCTTTGGGTTTCGGGCTTAGGATTTGGGGTTTAGGGTTGCAAGAGAGATTGTGCTTGTCGGAAGGCTGAAAAAGGGTTCTGGTGTGCCCCTGGCAGGTGCCCCTGGCAGATGATTGGAATCACGGTTAACCGTTGCCAGCTTTTGCCTTCGTGCCGGAGTTGATACTACCAGGGCCTCAATTATTAGAATAGGGTTCAAAGGTATCTTAAACTAAATTATCATCACGAGCCACCAAAAAAATACTACTTTGGGCAGCGTAGATGACAAGATTGGAGTGGCGGGTGAGCTGACGAGCCTCAAGACTCCTCGGAACCTCGGAAGCCTCCCCAGGGCGTTTTAGGGAGTAGGCTCTGAATAAGTCCACACCCCCCGAACCTTGAAGCCTCGTTCTTAGGGCTAGTAATTCTGCTTTCTTTACATGAACCTGTAGTAGGGCAGAGGTAAACCGATAAACCCCTGAAGCCTTCAAAGCCCGACCCCTGGCCTTGACGCGTCTCATGGGTGCGGCTTGTGACACCGACCAGGTCGTACGTTGGGAGGTGGGGCGATTCGCGACGTTTTCGACGGCCTCAAGAAGGGTTTATAGGGCTTATGTTAGTTGGGGATTCAGGGTTCTGGAGTAGGTTGGGGATTAGCGGATACTTATCAGTATCATGACTAACTTGTTGATATTACGCTCAATATTGCTACCATTCACATGACACGCTTCGGCATCGGAGCGTTCAGTGGTCCCTGTTTCTTTCAGCTTGATCCGGTGTTTCGGTTAAGGGCTCAAGGCTTGGTACTCCACATCCTGGTACTGTCCGGGTTGGGAGTTTAGGGTTTAGGGCGCAGGGTTCAGGGTTTAGGGTTCAGGGTTTAGTAGGGATGGGTTTGGGGTTTAGGGTTCAGGGTTCAGGGTTCTGGGTTCAGGGTTCAGGGTTTAAGAAGGATTTGCGTTTGGAACCCATGGATCTCGGTCTTCGGAGCTTCTGACAGCACAGGTAGGAGGCGTAGGATGCTTCTCCTGAAAAGAGCCAGAGAAAGCAACCCGAAATTCTTTAAAACTCCACATCTCCACCTTCCAGAAGGTGTTGAAGTTCACGTTGTCTGCCTGTGCAGGGGGCTTGAAAGGCCTCAACCCCAAACCCAAATCCCTGAGCCCAGGTGGGGAGGCTAAATTTAGGCCGTAGATTTCGGGAAACCCTGAACCCTAAATTTAGGGAAACAACGTTCATAGACCATAGGTGCCAGATCGAGGCTTCATGCTCCTGGGTGGAGGCTTCGGGTTTGGTGTATAGTATATTATATTATAGTATAGTAGATTATATTATAGTATACTACATTATATTACATGAGAGTATAGCATATTATAGTGTATTATTAGTTAGGGGTTCGGGCCGGGTCTAGCGTTTAGGGTTTGGGGTTTACCTTAAGAACCCAAAGCCTACTTTTTTGTAGGGGTCCCTATAAATCCCATAGTAGGGTTTACAATAACAACCTACAAAAAGTGGGCTTTGGGTTCTTAAGGAGGAGCCCCTAAACCCTAAACCCTAAACCCTAAACCCTAAACCCTAAACAAAAAAGGTGGGCTTTGGGTTCTTAAGGCTTAGGCTGAGACTCTCCGGCTGCTCCTAAGATCCAGCGAGGCAGTCCCATCCCTGCACCCCAAGATCCCTGGAAACTCCGAAACCCTAGGCCCCTAAACCCTACGAACCTTAAGAGCCCTAGGAACCTAGGACCTAGAACACCAAAATCCTGAAATCCCGGGAAGCCTAAAAACCCGAACACACCCGAGATCCGACACTGAAAACCCCGTAAACCCTGCAAGCCGCATAAACCCGATGAGCCCTAAACCCCTGAAAACTCTGACAACCCCTAAAGCCTTACAACCCGAGAGTCAACAAGTCCTCACCCCAAAGAGCATAAGAGCCCCCGCCAAAAATAAAAAGCTGAAGTCCTAAACCCCGAATGCCAAGTGCCTCGCTGGGCCCATACACCCCGCGGCTGCCAGTGAAAGTCACCTCTTCTGGGCTCTCTCCGAGTCCCAGCACCTGTGGGCCGACGAAAGGTTGTGGAGACTGGCTTAGAGTTTAGGGTAGTTTTGGGCTTTGGGCTAGGGTGTCGGGGTTTACGGTTTAGGGATGGCGGTTTGGCTTCTGTTGAGCGGTGAAGGGTTTCGGGTTAAGGACTTGTGGGGCATGGGGTACAGGGTTGAGGCCTCTGGGTGTTCGGACTGGCTCTCAATCTGGGCGCGAGTGCTTTAGAGGTTTCGAGAGCGAGGGCTTTAGGACTTGAAGGGTTTTCAACCGCATCTAAGCCCGAGACCCTGCACCCCAAACTCTAGTGGGTTTAGGGATCGGAGTTGGGGAGGGTTGCAGGGTCATGGACTGGCAATAGAGCCCATGCTCATCCGAAATGGCTGATTGAACAGTGCGGACTACATGCTAATGAACGAAAGAAAACAAGAAGCAGAAGAAAAAGGAACAAGAAGACATAGCAGGAATAATCAGAATGGCAACCTGCGTGACGGCCTGCGTGTAGAAACCCACGGGCACGTCCAGGCTGTAGTTGCCAGGCCTGGGAATCCGGATGCTAGAAAAACGGCCTTAAGAACCTAAACCCCAACCCAAACAGCCCGAAACCCTAAACCCGAAAACCCCAAACCCCAAAACATTAAACAAGCCCTGACAGCCGAAGGGCTTGAAAAGCAGCGCCACGCGTAGGGAGCTGAACTTGCCCGTCGACAGGGGTCCCAGCTGAGTGAAGAGCGTCTGCACCTTACTCGGAGGGCGATTTTAGGGTTTAGGGTTTGGGGTCCAGGGTTTGGGGTTAGGGTTTAGGTCAGTACTTGGAGGGTCGGGGACTTGGCAGGAGGTAATAAGTGCTTATAAGTACCCTAAACGGGACCCCCAATTGGAGGTTATGGTACTTAAACAGGCAACAAGAACAAGTACTTCCCCCGACCCTCCAAGTAGTGTTCTTATGAGGCCCATGGTCTGTGCTAGGGTGTCGGGATTAGGGGAAAGCAAGAATGCACCTGCTTTGAGACGTTAAAGCCCTGAGGCACTCGGCCCGGCCTCAATGTACCCCTAAACGAAATAAATCTGAAAAAAAGCCTTGCAAGTCAGCTGGTGTCTTTTGGCTGGCTTTCTAGTTCACCTTGGGCTAGAGGGTCCAGGGTTTCGGGTTTATAGCTATGGGGCCTATGACAAACACACTGAGGCCTGCACTGTGCAGCTGATATTCTGAGTCTCGGGACTGAAGATGTACCTGGGACCCAAAGCTTTAAACCCTAAGCCCAAAGCCCTATAGACCCTAAACCCCTAAACCCTAAACCCCTAAACCCCAAACACGAAACCCTAAACCTCGTTTTGGAGCTCCACATTAACAAATCCAGAGTTCAGGGAGGGCTGAGGGGTTTCAACGGATTTGGTCACAGGAATTTGAGGTTGAGGGTGGGTGTTTCAGGAGTTTGAGGATTCTTACGGGGCTGTTGGTAAGGAACGTAATTTAAGCTACCAACAGAGGGAGGGGAGAGATGCATACATGTGTCTATATATATATATATATATACGTATACATATATATATATATATACATTATGTACACCGTACACATAAAAAGTATGCCAGTATTGCCTCTATCCATAACGATGCTTCAAGAAACAAAGAGGCAAACAAAACACACACACAGACATTTTGTGTGCTTACATATTCATTTATTTATTTATTTATTTATATATATATATATATATGAATGTATATGTATCGCTTTGTTTGGGAAGATGTTGACTCTTTTTCCGCTAGGGAAAATGGCAGGTTCACGCTTCGAAGGGTCTTGGGGAGGTGCGGGGCTGAGGGCCTGGGGTGTGTGCGGTTTGAGGGTGGTTTAGGGTTTAGGGTTTAGGGTTTAGGGTTTAGGGTTTAGGGTTTAGGGTTTCAGTGCATAGCCTTTGTGGAGTTTGGGATTCAGAGCTGATCCTGAAGGCTATTCTCCCAGTTCTTTGCCCAGTCTCCTGGATTTTAGGGGGAGAAGCCTGTGCCCCGCTACCCTGAGAAACGCTAAAGGTTGCTGGTTTGACTAAGAAGCTTCAGCCTTTCTAGGACAGCTACAAGTTAAACTATCAAGGCCCTAAACCCTAAACCCTAAACCCTAAACCCTAAACCCTAAACTGTCAAGGTTTAGGGTTTGGGGTTTAGTTCTCAACCCCTGAGCCCGAACACCTGCAGGCACGAACTAAAAACCCAAAACCGACAAAGGCCCAAAACCTAAATCTGAACCCGAAATCCTAACCCTCACAACCCCAACCCCAAAAGCCCCTAACCTCCTAAAAACCCCTACTAAAACTCCAAATCGAAACCCTAAGGTCCAAGAAGGCCGGGAGGCACCGAAGGCGACCACTGAGGAGGGTTCGGCTCTAGGTCACAGTCCTCACAGTCCTTCGATGGGAAAGACGAGGCTCGGGCCACTGTTGTTGGCTCGGGCTTAGGGGCTACACGAGTTGCTTCTGGTTTGAAATGGTTCCTTAAGGTTCAGATAGGGGGTTCTATGCGATTTTATATGGTTCTATAAGGTTCTACCTCTGAACCCTAACCCCTAATCCCTAAACCCTAATCCCTGAACAGGTTAGGAAATAGGGTTCTGAAGCCGAGTCCCTACACCCAACAATCCGGAAGCTAGCCGCGCAGAAAACCCTACCTTCCAAGGGCACATCATCAACCAGGAGTTCACACCAAGGAACCTGAGAAAATAAGCTAGAATCGAGTAGGTCTTGGGGGCCCCAAAAGCCTAGATCCTGAACCTAAGCCATAAACCCTAAACCCAAAGCCCTAAACCCTAAACCCAAAGCCCCTAAACCCTAAGACCGAGACCCTAAACCCCCGACACCCTGTTTTGTTTTCGGGGGCGACAGGTGAAGGTGTGCTCAGGGCTTCCGGATTGCAGACACGCCAGACTCAGGGCTTCGGTCTTTCGACTGGGAACGTCGAAGTTCTCGTGATGAAGGGCTTAGGACAGTAGGGTTTAGGGTTTAGGGCTTAGGGTTTAGGGTTTAGCGTTTAGGGTATAGGACTTTAGGGCTTTTAGGGTTTTTAGGGTTTTAGAGAGTTTAGAGTTTAGGGCTGACGAGTGGGAGTCCAGAAAGGAGGGTCTTCTGGTGCGGCTTCGGGTTCTGAGTTCAGGGCTTTAGGGTTTAGGGTGTCATGCTTTTGGTCCCATACGGCTGTTCACGCAGAGGCTGGGAGACCCGAAACCCTAGTATCGAGACACGAGGCCCGAATAATGTAGGGGCCTTAATAATTGGAACAGGGTTTTGGGCTCCTTTCTAGTAGCATTTTAATCGGGAGCCCCCCTAGATTGACTGTAATGGGGTTTTGTGCTACATCTTACCATGATCATGATTGGCATTTTGACCTATGTGAGCTTGGATGCAGCATAAAACGAAAGCTCTACTTAGATGTTTGTAAAGTAAGAATTGACATGACTTCAGGACCCTTGCTTTCTGAAACTCCATGTTGCCATACAAATCGCACACACCTAACACAAAGCCCCTAAAGCCCTAAGCCCGGAACCCCTAAACCCTGAACCCTCAGCCCCACGCCCCAAACTGTCCCTAAACCCACCTAAATTGCATGCTAAACCCCCAACCGTAAAGCCCATAATTCTAAGGTCTGTTAAAGTCTAGGTCTAAAGTCAAAGCCCTAAATCCTAAATCCTAAACGCCCAACCCTAAACCCTAAACCCTAAACCCTACACACTAAACCCTAAACCCCGAAGCCCAACCCGAAAGTCTCAGCACCTGAAATCCTCAGGCAGGAAGCGGATCGAGCAAAATCTTGGAGACTCTTGTGGGCACCACGCCGTTGCAGCAAGGCTTGCACGTCTCCTGCTGACTTATGATCTTCTGGGAAAGCCTAGAGGTTGAGGGTTTCGCGTCGCAGGACCTGGGATTCGGGCTTAGGGTCTAAAGCCCTTAACCCCCACAAAAAAACTCAGGCGTGGGGAGCCAAACCCAAATTTTCGGGCCTTAAAACCTGCACCCTAAGAGCCCTAAACCTTCAACCCGTAAACCCAAGCCCGAAGCTCTAAACCGAAAAAATCGAAGCCGAGGTTTCGTGGCTCGTCAGACCTGTCTTCAAAGGCTCACGGAGATAGATGGTGAGTCTTGCCAGTAGCTTTTGACGGACTAGTACGAAAGATTAGCACTGCTGCTAGTGCCGGCAGCAGGCTCAATGGCACCACCACTGACACCCCGATTTTCCAGGACGACCTCCCTCAAACACGACTTGCAGGAGACTTCGTGTGCACGAAACCCATGGAAATGTCCGGTCCTCCATGCTCGCAAGCATCCGCGGCAGGTGAGAGTGCAGAAGTTGTGGCAAACAAGCAGGCCAGCAACGTTGCCTTACGGACACGCTGGACCATAAACGCTAAAACCCTGAACAGGCAAACTTTAAAGCTTAAAACCCTAAACCCTAAAGCATTAAACCAAAACCTCAAACCATGATACCCCAAAAGCCCGCGTCTAACAAACGGAACATCGGTGCTGCATCCTCCTCTTGTTACAAGCGCTGCGGTGCAGCAGACTTGCAACAAGCCTGTCGCAGCTTTCGCAGCGGGGATTGCTGGTCATGTTGTGGATACCGTTGCATTCAATCGAATGAGAAAGGCGCACGGTTTCCTTGAAGAGCTGATGTGGAAGTTGCCGGTGGTGCCAGTGGACGACTCAACTGAAACCATAGCCACTGAATGCGGGTGGTTCCTGTATGGATACTATACGGGTTTCGATGGGGCTTGCCATAACCGTTATTGTAAGGAGATTCTAGGAGGTTCAGGAATTCCTCTTGCGACCATCGTACCCAGCTAGCCACATCAAGCCAGGCCACGCACCATGAAGGTGACATGAGCCGCACAAATACAGAAATCTGTCACTGTAGGAGGAATTGTCGTGCAAACTTCACAGTGAGACTGCTAAGACTTGAGCCGCACTTCGCGAAAGCCGCCGCGCCAGATCAATCCTACAGTCACAAAGACATGAACCTACACTGTTACACTGGAAATCCAAACCCAAAACCCTAAACCTAAACCCGAAATCCCTGCATCCTTAAATACCTAAACCCTAAATGGACCCTAAATGCTAAGTCTTTGAATCCTGAAGTCCCTGAATCCTTACGTCCCTAAATCCCTAAACTGGCCTCAACCCTACCCTCCGACGACTCGACACCCAATCACTGAGCACCTCATTAGGGCCAGGGACACTACACAGTTTTAAGCGTTGGGGGGTATTGGGGGTATTGGGGTGTAGTGGTATTTTGGGCTTAGAGGTTCAGGGATTTGGGTTTAGGGGTTTGAAGTTTAGGGTTTAGAGGTTTAAAGGGTTTTGAGGCCAGGCCTAGGCAACATCATCCCCAAACCGTAGAATTCCCAGGCTAGAAGCTCCCCACCTCATGCTCCCGTGAACGAAGGAGCAAGATGGAAGCTTTGCGTTTTCTTGATAACACAGATCTAGCCCATGAGAAAGGAGGAGGAGGAAGAGGAAAAAAGGGGGAGGGGAAGGAGGAGGAGACATGCTGAACCTGGAAGATTGAAAATTGACTGGCAACAGCCAGCAGATGCAGCAACAGAGCGAAACAACTTCAGACATCATCAAGATAATGGCGGCCATCAACAACATCACCGAAACTTTGCAGTCTAAGGCGCTCCGGTGGAACTAAGGGACACTGCTGCTGTTGAAGATGCCGATCAAAGAGGCCCTGTTCTCAGGCTTGTTTTAGAGTTTGGCGTTAGTTTGCCCAAAACCTTGTTCGGCAGCCTGAAACAGCCGAAAAGTTCCCTTTCACAAACAGAGCGGCTGCGCTCATTTTGTGGCAATGCTAGTGCTGGAACGGCAGGTAGGCACGCGGTGTCTTGGCACTGCGCAGAAAGAGCCCTAAGTTCCCTCAACCCCCAACCAGGTCCGCACCTGAAACACGAGCAAGCCTTCATCAAACCTGAAGCCTTCACCCTGGCCCCAGAGTCTGCAAGCAACAACTCAACCTTTCTGGAAATTTCCTGAGGACCTCATACGGATCTTCCAGTAGGTACCCTTAACTCTACCGAGAAACCCTACCTAAGCTCTAAGCCCTGAGACCCTAATTTGAGCTGGGATCTGCCACCGAACTCCCGGAAAAAAGGCTCACCGCTCAAGCGGCAGAGGCTCCAGGGTCGACATGAACGCCTTCAACGGCGTTCGAAGTTACCCTAACGGGTTTAGGGTTTAGGGTTTAGGGCTTAGGGTTTAGGGTTTAGGGTTTAGGGTTTAGGGTTAACCGGGTTAACCTAGCAAAACCGACTTTTTTGTGGGATCCAGATAAGCCCCCCCAAAAAAAAAGCAAGACACATCTATAGGGACCCTACCAAACAGCTCGGTTCTGGTCGGCTGAGGTAGGCAAAAACATCCGGAAGCAGGGCGTCAGGGAGACTCTGAGGCTCAAATGGCGCAAAAAAAAATGGGAATTTCATAAGTATGGTTTAGGGTTAGGGGGTTTGGGTGAGCTTCAGAAACAGGGTGCCCGAATCTACATATCAGAGGGATCATCAAATTCAGGTCCAAGAGCAGACTGTGCAGAGATCCATTTTTTTGCCCCCAAGCTCAACAAACCTCGCTGAATGTTTGATGACCCTAAACCCTAAACTGACCCTTAGCCTTAAGCCTTAAGCTTCGAACTGCAAACGGACCAAATTTTCAACCCTAAAGTCGAGAAATCCGAAAACAGGCAGGCCCTGGAACCCGACGCTTCAAAAAGACCCGCTCAATTCCTTACTTGAAAAACCTTTGCAAGGTAAAGCCCTCACTAATAGAAGCTAAAACCCAAAAACAACTAAAGCCGCACAGCCCCAAAACCCCCAACTTTCTGTGAGAAAAATCAGAGGCTCCCACCCCTTCATACCTCCTCGAGCTGTGTCGGAGACGCGAGGTGTGGCTCTCTCGTTAGAAAGGCCTGGCGGCAGGCGACAAGAAAGGGGCCTCTGTAGCAGTAGCAGTAGCAGTAGCAGTAGTAGTAGTAGTAGTAGTAGTAGTAGTAGTAGTAGTAGAAGTAGGAGTAGTATTAGTAGTAGTAGTAGTAGTAGTAGTAGTAGCAGTAGCAGTAGCAGTAGCAGT